TAGCCGTAATGCTCCGACAATCCATCAAGCGGTGCCGGTTCGTAGCTTAGCAAAGTTGTACTAAAACATTTGACAGATTTTCCAGCGCCGTGTACCACATAAAATCGTTTCAAGGTCAGTAAACACAACCAGAATTCATACATTTTTCAGAAAAATCAAAGGATTGATTTTAAGTGTGACGTATTTTCCAAACAACACGGTAATAAGGACGGCCCGCTAGCATGCGCTACCAAAAATAGTGCTTTGTTGTGTATCTGACGGACGAAAGCTAAACCAGTTCCACACCACTGAAGTTGCAGCATTTTTACAAACCAATTCTGGTTCATCCGTTTCATTTAACGATCTGCTTTCGCTCTCATTCTGCGTCGCCGCCATGTGCGTATGTAAACATAAGCACTGCGCATGCGCGGTTTACCCATATTCTATTGCGATATTTAATTTTCCTATCATTGCCCAAAATTACCCGGTATTACCGTGAACAGTATGATATAGCCCAGCCCTATTTGAAATTAGTTTTTTAAAAAGCATTTTGAAAATCAGTTTATTAAATTAGAATTCAAAAATGAATTTACAAATGCAGAATTTATTCTACAATTAATTATTTAAGCACAGAATTCTTTATTTCGATGCACGTGGCTCTTGTGGTCCTCCATACATTTCAACCATAAGACATCAAAATAAATGGTTCAAGTAGTTATGGTAAATTTGATTCTTTTTACTGAATCAAGTTTTAATGAGTCACTCACCAAAGTGAATCGGGGTTTTTGAGTCATTTGAGTCACTGAGTCAGTCGACCAGAGAGTGCAAAAAAATGCACATTTTCACTCAAACTTAATTTGTTTCTCTTTTCATGGAAATCCTACTACTAAGATGAATGATTCTAAAAGAAAACAACTATTTTATAGAGCAAAAAAGAGCAAAAACATTTCTAAAATTAAGCAATTTCCTATCAAAATTGCTTAATAAACATTTATTTATTTTTATTTTATTTTAATATATTTTTATTTTTTATTTTATTAGTATTTTCCTTAAATGTGTTAAATATATATTTTCTCATCTAAATGTCCACTGAGCTGTGAGCCAGGGGGCGGTAATGCGCCTTAACATTGGTTGCCAACCAAGAAGAAGAGGAAGCTGTGAGCCAGGAGGGAGGGGGTGAATGGGTCAGTGAGTGATTTGTTCGCTCTATGATTCAGCACAGGAGGGAGGGGGTGAGCGAGTCCTGAGTGATTCGCTTACGATTCAGCACAGGAAGGGAGGGGTGAGTAGCTCAAATGTGCTGTTAGCATATTAGCAGAGTGATGCTACTGTGAACCGAGGAGCTATTTTCTTGATGTGAGCTTCTACTCAGGGTTTTTTCTTCCAGTTCAGAGCAGAAATTTTTTTGTTACGATACTGGATGTTGTGTTTTTCTCCACAATTTTAATTATAAGCTAGATACATTGCTACTAACAGCAACAGGGATGAGTCAGTGAGTCAGTTGGGCTTGTGAATCATGATTCATGAGTCAGTAAAGTGATTCTCGAGTATTGAACGATTCGTTCATGATTCGCGCATCACTAGATTCAAGTGTTTGCTGGGAAATAACGATAACAACACATCTAAATGCAGACTTTGAGGTTAAACAAAGTTAGTGCAAGGTTAAGAGAAAACACCTCAGGAAAGTACAGACCACTCATGAATACATAAAGAAATGAAAGAAGTGTGGTGTGAGCCAACAACAGAAATAAAAACAATGATTTAAAGAAATTGTTTGTGATTATGTAGCTTCTGTAAAAGACTTGAACCCAGCATGACCTGGACAAGGTGGATGGAGAGCTGGCGGGGACTGAGGAGTCAGTGAACACACCACAGAGTCACTGTGAAGCGACCTGGGGTCCGTTCTTCGTACCGCTTACTACATCCAAGATCAAATGACACATCCAAGATCAAATCATCGTGGCAACTTTGAGCTCGATATTCTGGTTCTCCGAACACACCTGTTGTTGACGATTAGTACAGCTGGATGAAGTAATGTGAGATCACTGGGTGGCTTAACAGGGGCTACGCATCAATAGTAGAAACATTGATCGGCAACCCTTTGATTGGTCGGCAAATCAAAGGGTTGATTCTTGCTCAATCAAGAGCAAGAACTCTTGATTGAGGGATTTCAGGAGTTTCAGAGTTTAATTAAAACGCAAGGGAACACTGCAAAGGCTGCAAAAGCAAGGAGAGAGGGCTGGCAGAAAGTTGCTGACAAATTAAACTCGTAAGTAATTTAATATATTATATTACATTATATCATATTATATTACATTATATCCTCTTTCACATTAGAGCCACAACAGGACCCACTAGAACATGTGAACAAGTAAAAGTGAAATATAACAATATTCTACAGCATGGTAATATTTATCACTTATATTGCTTTTAGTCTCTTGAAAAGAGACCCTGAAATAATCTGTTTGTTTGTTTATAACAGCAACCAAGAAAAGGGCAGAGCAAAAAAAGACAGGTGGTGGTCCTGCACCCCCTCGTCACACCCCGGCAGAGGAGCTGGCCCTAGGGTTGAATGCCACCAGACCCATTGTTGAGGGCATCCCTGGGGGCAGCTCTTCCTTAGACCAGGAGCCGGGGTGCAGTAGCAGCAGCACCTTCATAAGTGGTAAATGAGCTCATAATTCTATTTGTACAATGTAAAATATTTGGTTGTTGCCTTAGTTTTTTTGTGTGTAGTTTTACATAACACTCCATCACTTTTACCTGTTCCCATGCAAGGGGTGACTGAAGCATGCACAGTAAGTTGGGAGATATATATATATATATAAATAAATAAATAAAAAGGATCCTGTCTATCCCGCAATATACGCTGAATTCTGAAAACTCTCCTTATCAATCTTGCACCTTCCGCAATGGGTTGCTCTCGTACAAACGGACAGGACATGGCTGCGACAGACTTCCCAAATCCGCCTTTGCTTTTATAGCCGTGGTCTCTCATCTTAATTACACGAAGTAATTTACTATTACTGCTCTAAAATATGAATTACATCTGAAAAAATCAAATACATGGAATGGAATGATTAATAGTACATTTCCCTTCTTTTAGGAAATGACCTGTATGTATCTGTATGAAATCAATAAAAGAATCAAATACTGCATTATCTTTAGTTACATTGATAATATTTATTTATGGAAAAACAGTGGAAAAATATCGCTGTTGCTTTCGTATAAATGAAGCGGACATACCTGAGTGGTCGCGATCTAATCCTGTTTACATAAAGTAAGCCTGCTCCCGAGCAGGTTTACGCTTACGGATCTGTTGCTATGACAGCAAGTCCCAGATGAGCTTCGGAGAACCGAACGATCCAAGATCACGCGAAATCATCAACAATCAAATCCAGCTAACTTACTTAGCGAGGTACGAAGAACGAACCCCTATTTAGCACCTCACAGTAAGCAGGAAGTTTGTTTTCAAAATAAAGATCACTTTTTGTTATGTCCAAACTTTATTACTACTTTCAAACTTTTATTAAAACTTTATAAGAGCAGAAGTTAAAAACCTGAGACCAACTTGGTATTTACATGAAAACTAATAAAACCTGAGACCCAGACGCTGAATTCATAAATACTGAAACACAAAGAGCAGTAAAGACGCCGCGGACAGGAAACTGACATCACCACAGAACTCGAGCGTCCCCAATAATCAATCATGAAAACAGCTGAGAAATACATTTAAAGGACACTTAAATCAAAACAAGGCAGCCGATCGTCACGGTAACGGCACGGCTGACGTCACATGGGCTTGGTGGTGCTGTTATAAACAGACGTCTCCTCCTTGGACAGTGCTTCGTGGGTGGGGCCCGTGTTGACGGGCCTGTGTGTGCGCCTCTTGCGGGCCCTCAGGAAGCAGTAGGCCAGGATGGCCAGCAGAGACAAGATGGCCACCGACAGGATCACGGCGAGCGTGATGGAACCTGTGGAGGAGGACAGTGAGGTCATGTCCTGTTTGTACTGTAGAACAGTTGAAAGCTGAGGTTAAATCTCTCACTTGAGTCGTCGTCTACTTCCTTGTCGAAGCGCTCAAACAAACCTCTGGCGAACACATCGTTCTCTGCAGGGAAAGAAGAAAAAGCAGCAGTGAGTTCCAAAACTCATAAGCGGGTGAGCCGCTCTTTCTTCCCGTTTCCTTATCTGGAAGTCAGCGAGTTTTATGAAGTTCTGCCGGAGTGCTTACATTTCTGTGCTTCAGCACAAACTGCGTCAGGTTAGCGAGAAGACGTCTGAATGACATTGTCACAGAGTCATGTGACTGCAGTGTATGTGAGCAGTTTCTGTGTGTGGAGCTCATCTCATGAGTGAAGGGTCCTAACGTTTGATTTCCCACAGACAAAAAAAATCCCAGTTTTTACGTTTGTGTTAGCTGGTAGCCAAGGCAACGCCACCTTCAGCCGGCCAATAGAAGCCGCTCCCGTGCTTAGCGAGACGCTCACTTTCTTTAAGTCAGAGCGCTGCAGTGTGGGTGACGCTCAGGTTGGGTTGATCTTTAATCTGCTGGAAAGCCAGCGCTCTGTTATGAAGATTAAGTGTTTGTGTGTGCGAATGTGTGTGTACCGCCGACTTCTTTGCAGTACTCTCTGCATGTCTGATCGTCTGGAAAGTTGTTTTCGTTCCCGTCACAGCCACCGTAGGTGAACTCGTGACACTTCTGGTCCAGGGGGTCATAGTACCAGCCGGGGAATTTGGCCCGGCACGGACCGGTGCGGGGAGGCTCCGTGCACTGAGCTGAGGGGGGAGGGGTTAATTAGCATGTAGCTTGTTAGCTTTGAGTATTTCTTTAACAAAGAAAATTAAAACAAACCTTTCTTCTTGTTCACATCAATGTCCAGAAGAAGGCTCAAGGTCTGATTCACTGAGGAGGAGGAGGAAGGTCAGCTACACTCAGTGTGTGTGTGTGTGTGTGTGTGTGTGTGTGTGTGTGTGTGTGTGTGTGTGTGTTACGTTGGTGGCACTGGCTCTCGTCTGATCCGTCGCTGCACTGCTTCACGTTGTCACACTCCATACTTCTGTCCAGGCAGCAGCCGTTGCCACAGGTTAGCTGATCAGGACCGCACGGCGAGCTGCACACCTCTTAAAACACACACACACACGCACACACACTGAGCATCCTGGTTGTACTGTGGAGCAGAGATGAAGAGGTGCGCTGTGGGACTGACCTGCAGCGGGCAGAGTAACACTCCTCTGCGATGACACTGTGGACAAAAATACAGAAACAGTGTTACAATAAAGGTGTGTGTCTGTGTTCATGTGTACATGTGTGCGTGTGTGTACCTGTGACTCCTCTGCAGGCAGACAGACACTCTTGTTCAGACAGGAAGTTGTTCTCGTTTCCTATACAGCCTCCGAACACAAACATCTCACAGACGCCCTTTGTGATGTTGTAACGCCAGCGAGTAAATTTTGCGCGGCACGGCCCGACCTTCACCGGAGCCTGACAGTATGCTGAGGGCGAGGACAGCGTCAGTTACATCACTTCCTGTCAGACTTTTACCTACAGAAATACAGCTGACTGCAGTGCTGAAAACAAACAGGGTGTGCCACTGTGACAACACTTGCACCATTTACTGTTTTGCAAACTTCCATTTTACGGTTTTAAAGCCCGACTCTGGTCAGAGCTGCGATCAATACAGACTCAGTGAATCACGTGACCCTGAAATCAGCTGAAAGGAAGATGTCAAATAGAATTACGTCAAGTTTCTGCTGTGAGTGTGGGGGCGTCCTCTGAGCGTGCATGAGTCAGGTAATCCAGTCTGACCAGTTTAAGAGGAGCGAGAAAACAAACACCATTCCCTCCACCAATTAGCTGACTCTGCTTCTACCACACCGTTTAACTGATCAATAACACAGTGATTCAGCCATCAGCTGATCGATAAAGTGACGATAAGTGAAGACTTCAGACCCAATAAAGTCAGACTGAGATGAAAACAAACTAAACGTCCTCAAAACCTAAAATTGACCAAATTCTCTATTGACTCTGGCACAGGGCTCTGCACATGCTACAGACTTATTGTTGGAACACATATCGCATGAGCACTCACAGCTGGTCTGTTGTGGGTTAAGAACGAGGACTGTGACCTTGGCATCATCTGATTTGCCGTTGGAGTCGTTGACCGTCAGCTTGAAGACATACGAGCCTGTCTGCAGGTTGGAGAGCTGCACCTGGTCAGGATAATTGGTCTCCTGCAGAAGCCCATTCAAAAATAACAGCATTTAAAAGTGAAATGAGCTGGACTCAGTCACAGCTGAATGCTGCAGAGGGACGCTGAAGAACAATTACATTCACCTGGACACACCTGCACAGACACAAGTCCTTATTTTAACTTCCAAAAACCAAGGCAGAGTGAAAACTGGACAGATTGTGAATGAGATTTGGTGGGCTGGAAGCTGCTCTGCTGAATTTTATATTCAAAGTAGTGGATACAGTGAACTACCCGTCTGTCTCCAGGTGAAGTCTCCCTGTAACACAGAAGCCCCCACCCCCGTGCTGCAGCACCTGTACCTCTATCTTTACACTGCTGTCTCCTCTCTCCAGACTCCAGCGGTAGTCTTTAATTTTTGCGCCGCTAAGCGCCACACTCTCAGTGCCGTTGAGCATCACAGTCTCTCCAGGCTGAATGGTGACATCACGGCCTGCGTTGGCGACGGGCGGATGCTTCTTACCTGGAGACAGAGTGAGGGGGAGCTGAAGTCAGATGGATTCTGAGACAGGGTCAGAGATCACGTGCATAGAGAGGAAGCGCAGCCTGAAATGATAATAACAATGGATTGCATATATAGCGCTTTTCGAGACCCTCAAAGTGCTTTACAATTCCACTATTCATTCACTCTCACATTCACACACTGGTGGAGGCAAGCTACAGTTGTAGCCACAGCTGCCCTGGGCAGACTGACAGAAGCGAGGCTGCCAATCAAGTGAGGTGGGGGCCGGCCCGGCCAACACCAGTAGGCGGTAGGTGTCCAAGGACACAACGACCAAGACAGACAGAGCACTGGCGAGGCGTTAGTCCCACAGTTACGATGGAGGTGAGCTGGTCACAGCGTTGTGCCGGTGGCTTTAGCCACAGATAACAGGCGTCTGTGCCGTGGTTATCTGTCAGCATGGAGGGAACATGTGACATCCTGTAACACTTAATCAGCTGATCACAGCGGTCTGAGAGAACGAAGCTGCAGATCATCTTTAACCCGCTCCTCACACAGCAGAGGAACACGCCGTCTACGCGACAGCTGCTCTTCAAAAACATTAAACAGAAGCTGTGTCCCAAAACCTAGGCCACGTCCTTCGGAGGACCCGGCCTTCGCAGTCTATGTGGGCCGGTGTTCTGGGAGTCCATCCTACCTGAAAAAACATCCTACACAATGTTTCTGTGCAGACACAGTGCATGCGCACAACACCAAACACCGAATTAACTCCTTTTTCTCTCACCCATCCAGAATACTTCTTAAGGTTATGGTTAGGATTATGGTTAGGGGTAGGGTTAGGTTTAGTCGCAAGTCACCCTCAAATTATAATGCGGGTAGGACGTTTTGTCAGAGTAGGATAGTTTCTCAGAACACCCGGTCCTGCTCCGACGAACAGGCGTGTGTGTTCTGACCTGGCGACCCTGTCGGGCTCCGAGTCTGCCCACCGACCTCCCTGCTGACACACTTGGGCCCACAGCCAATCACCCGCCTCCATCCCTCCTCTTGCCTGCATCTTCACCCCCCTGCACATGCTCAGACCTCAGCCTCCGAGAGTCCTTCTGATCCTGCTCACTGAGCAGAACTGACATCACGGAGAGTCAGTAAGCCTGAAAGTACTCACCTTCTTTCTGGGGGGCTGCCAGGTACTTCCGGTACACGGCGTCTCTGACGTAGCTCTTGTACCCGCTCTGGGTCACGAACCTGCACGCGAACCGATTCCTACTCACGCAGTTGAACAGCACGCACGTGCGGTTCTCCTCTCCGGGGACGCTCGGCTCCAGCAACGCCAGGTTGCAGTGCACTTTCCCGCAACACGCGCGCTCGCACTCGAGCTCGGAGTAGAAGCTCGCGGTGGCCAACATGACCGCGCCCTGCTTCACCGCGTCCTCCGCGTACAGCACGAAGTCCTCGTGCCCGCGCCGGAACTCGTCCTCACAGTGCGGGTCCACTGCCCCCCCGGACCGCAAGAGCGCGAAAACGAGGAGGAGGAGGGGGGAGGAAGAGGAGCGCGTGGACATGTCCGTCTGCGGTCAGTCTACGCGCGAGGAGGAAAAGACGCTCAGCTCCGATGTACCTCCTCAGGTGTGTCTCACCTGCTCTCTGACAGGAAGACAAACACCTCGCCCCGCCCCCACACAGGTGATTCTGACGCGCCGCTGACGTCAACAACAACAACAACAGGTGAATTTATGGATCCGACAGGAGACCGTGAAAAACATCACACATTCAAAGATAAGTAAAGGTGATCCCCCTAAGCCCAGCGTCACAGACTCTCACACAGACGTCACTCTGTCTGTGACGCTGGGTTTAAGAAACAAGAGCTCAGTTAAAAACATGTTTATCGCCATCTTCTGTTAGTACGGAGCATGTGGTTGGCTAACAGACTCATATTAGTTTATGTTAGCTAACTAGTGACAGAACCAATAGCTCAGAGGAAACTAAACATCAGAGTACGAGGATCACTGTAGTGCTGCAGCAGTGAGGCGTTAAACCAGGATATACTGTACACTTTACCTTCTGTGGCAGGAAGTGTCTGTTCGCTGTTTGGCTAGCTACATGGTTATGGTTGGGTGTTAGCCTAATTAGTTGTGATGTTTGCGTTTGTAAAGCACTTTATGAGGACTGTGGAGCAGAGCGCGGATTTATCACTAATCAGTAAAATCGTTTCTAAATCAAGTACTGATTAATCAGTGCAGTACGATCAGTCAGCATTTCACACTCTAACCAGCAGGGGCACTGCAGCAACACCTGAAGCGGGCCAATGAGAGGCGCAGCCGGAAGTTAAAAGGCAGATGGTTTATGTGATTTTTACTGATTATTTGTGATTTGGATGATTTTCAGGTAAAGGAACGGAGTTTTGGTGGAGTGTGTTTCCCCCCCCCCCCCCATCTCACTTGATTGCTTCGCCAAACTCTATTCAGAGAAGATCAGATTTCAGTTAGACGTGATCAACTGAGCTCTGTGATCTAAGATAGCTTTTATAGTTTTGGATGAAGCAGCAGGATTCCTACTTTAATTCAGCTCACTCTGAAACCGACATGGAGAAAGGTTTCTTAGTACAAAGCGCTGATGAAGATGTGATGATGCTAATGTTTTGATCCACTTTGAACGAGCAGAATTTGACGTTTCTATGAGCAGGTTTGGCAGGTCAGAGTTCAGGTGAGTTTCACCTTTTTTCACTTACAAATACTGATGTTGACTTTAAGTAATAATAAAAGCCGACAAGAGCAGGAACCTGTTTAACAGTTTTTTGCCTGCTAATGATTTAATTGAGATTACAGTTTAAAATGTTAAATATGTTTATTTAAAAATAGAAAAATAATAAAATTTTCACTTTTAAATATCTCAAATAAAATGCATCTTTCTGACACTTCAATTATAATTTTATTAATTGTTTTTATCACTTTGACCTCTGACCTGCATGACATTTGATTGGTTGGTGGCTGTGTTACAGTTTTACTGTTTTAAAAAATGAAAAGAGTTTTTGTTTGGAGTTATGAAGCCTGGCAGGACTCATCTTCATTGCTCTGGCTCTGACCTGTAAATGATTTTATTTCTGTTTAGTTTTCCAATAGTACAGTGAAATTGTAAGACTGTCCCGCGTCAGCACTACGGCTGTGTCCCAATTAAGAGACCGCACGCTTGAAGTACTCGCACTACGCGTACTACGTACGGTGCGTACTATAAGTACGAGAAGTGCAGAAGTGAGAGGATTGTGAAATGGGACGGTCTAGCCTTCATGGCGCTGTTCAGGTTGCCTAGCAACCATGATACTAAACGTTACATACAGCATTGTGTGACAGAAATGAAGGAGAAAAAATGTTTTTTGTTAGTTCATTTTTGTCATGACATCACTGTGATTAGTTGAGTATCTGAGGCTGAGACCACGGGACTGTAAAACATGATTGTTGGGCTTCATTTCTGTGTGAACAGTCATTTCAAGATTAAATAACAATTAGCTAATGTTGTTCATGAGACTAAAATCATCTCACTGTGGTAATGTAAATATAATATGGCCAATATTATATGTATTGTCAGATTATTATGATATATATATATATA